CGCCCCTACCCGACGAAATTCGTTCTGAGCTCCCCGAGCGAACGCCGCTCCTGCTCCGTGTAACACTCCTCGTCGACTGCGGTGGCAAAGTCGTCGTCGCCGTCGCCGTCATCGTCGCCTGGCACCCAGATGGAAGTGGGCGTGGCGAGAGGCGCCCGCTCCTCGGCCTTGCGACTCGCCTTGCCACGCATATACGGGTGTGTGTATGGCGTGGGTGTGCCGATAGCTGTGTGCTATCACACCCGCTCGGCGCCCGCCACTCGGGTAAGACGCCATCGAAGAAGCGATTTTTTATTTTTTCTCGGTCGTTGGGAGGGAGAGAGAGTCATCATCTGTCTAGCGTCCACCCATACCGCGTTGGTGTCCAGTCCGAGCCTGGCTGTTCTTCACCTTTCTACCTACCTACCTAGAGAGAGCCCAAATCACTGTGAGAGTCGTGATTTCTCTCGCGTTGGGGGAGAGAGATTTTTAGCAATACCAACCAAACAACTCTAACACTCACACGTCATTTGGGGTGTTTGTCGCGTTGGTGTCCGTCCGAGCCAGACTGTTCTTCACCTTTCTACCTAACCTCAACTATGTGTGTGACAAAACAACTAGAGTTGTTTGGTATTGCTAAAAATATCTCTCTCTCTCTCTCTCTCTGAGAGAGAGAGATTTTTAGCAATACCAAACAACTCTAACACTCACACGTCATTTGGGGCCTGGAGCCCTGTTCACGCGCGCGCGAGACGTGCAGACAGGGTTGCCAGGTGAGAGCGAATGGCGCGGTTCACGCCTCGCACAACAGAGAGAGAGATGCGCTCTGCATGGTGGGACATAAAAGAAAGCGAGTACTTGGGCGAGTAGGCCGTGCGGTCGACGCTGCCGCGCGCGACCTTGCGCGCGAGGCGGCGCAGCTTGAGAACGGCGGTGGGCGAGAAGCCGCCGCCGAACGTCTCGTGGAGCAGCAGGTTGAAGTTGTTGCGCTTGACAAAGATCGCGTCGTGGTAGAAACCGCGATGCGCCTTGACGTAGCCGTGGCCGTTCTTGTGGTCGAAGGGTTGGCCGGGCTGCCCGCGCGCCTTGCAGCCCATGTTCAGGCGGCGGGCCTTCTCCTCAGTGCTGCCGAAGGCGTAGGAGTGGCCAACGGAGGCGGGCGTGCCGCCACTCGAGGCGTTGTCAACGCCCGTCGAGGAGGTCTTGAGGAGGGGCGTCCAGAGCTTGACTTCATTCACTTCATCGCATCCTCCCGGCCCTGCATGGGGTTCTGCGAGGTCAGTCTTGTACCCCTCATTGTACTGCCGGGTGAGCTCCGGTTTCTCCTTGTCACCGTGCACGACCGGCGCGTTGGCCGGGGCGCGCATCGCGTCCGCCCAGGCGGCGAGGACGCCGTCGTGGGGCCGCCGGTGGTGGGCCTTGTTGTAAAGGTAGTCGCCGAAGAAATCAATCGTGGGCCGTACTGTTATGTATATGCACGCTCCTCCCTATGCATTCGCATCGTGATATGCATTCTTACCGATCCATAACCGTATGGCGTATACATTTACGTATTTGCAAAATACGTCGCCCTCTCCCACCCTCGCGCGTCGAGGCGCGTGAATGCATAACACAGATACATAATACATAGGCGAATTTGCATTATACGCACTGGGAGTTCACATCGTGTGTTATGTATTATGTAATATGTATTATGTATTATGTATTACGCACTGCCACTGGGAGTCAACATCGTCTGTTATGTATTGTGTATTACGTATTATGCGTATTATGCATTACGCACTGGGAGTCCACATCGTCTATTATGTATTACGTATTACGTATTACGTATTATGCATTACGCACTGGGAGTCCACATCGTCTATTATGTATTACGTATTACGTATTATGCATTATGCATTACGCACTGGGAGTCCACATCGTCTATTATGTATTACGTACTACGTATTACGTATTATGTATTACGCACTGGGAGTCCACATCGTATGTTATGTATTATGTATTATGTATTGTGTATGATGCGTCATACATTGCGCATTTCAGACAAGCACACCATGTGTGTGTGCTGGCTGCTACGTTTTATGTGCTCGCAGCGGGCACATGCACATATTATGAAAATATACAGCGACTCCATTCATTCATCAGTGGACAGGGACGGCAATCGGGGGGGGGGGGGGGAAAGCAGCAGCGGGCGGGACCGAGCAGCAGCACTGGGCTCATCATTCACTGGGCGAGGAAAGCTCGAGGGGCGCGGCATCAAAACTATACACTGGGGCTGGGGGCAGAAACCAGACGTGCACCAGACCTAGCACCAGACAGGCGGGGGCAGAGGGCACAGCGGTAGGGCGGGGGCGAGGGGGGTTGGGGCGACCGGGCGACGGACGCCGGCCTCGATGGCGATCACCACCTAATGTGCGACAGGCGGCGTACGAACCCGAGCCGTGAAGGAGACCCCCCCCTGCCTTATCTCTCCCGAGGGCTGGTTGGAGCAGAGCGCGCGGGCCCTCTCTGCCCTGGGAGCGCAGGTGAGAGGAGCGCCCACCCCTGGTCCGCTGTCCAGAGAGCTCTAGCGGACCGGATCGTGGGCCCCTCCTCCGAGGGGCCCAAGCGGGCTAGACCTGTGAGTCGTCCGTGCGGGGTGTCCCTCCCCCGCGGCTCGGGCGCCGCCTGGCGCACCTGATGGGTTGACTGCCAGCTCCCCTTGGATGGGCGGCCTCACTTGAAGAGGTAGGAGCCGAGCCCGCCGATGAAGGATGTCGATGCCGGTGGGGCGGCCGCCGGCGCCGCCGGACGGCGCCGCACAGGCGGCTGCGGCGCCGCCGTCGACGGGGACGCCGCGGTCGTCGATGGCGGCGCCGCCCGCTCCGGCTCCGACTCGGACGCCTAAACGAAGGCAAGCTCGTGTGGGGAGGGCGCCTGAGTGCTCTATAGCGCGGCCCGGCGGCCTCGCCTCGAGGGGCGGGATGTGGATCGCCGAGGAAGGCGTCGACGCCCCGCCCGACGGGAGCGGCTGCTCGGCCAGGGGCGAAGAGGACGGCGACTGGTCCATCGTCTCGCCAGCCGCGTCGGGCTGCGCCTCGCCGCCGCGCGCCTTCTTCGACCGGCGGCGAGCGGCACGCGAGGTGGCCGGGCGGCGGCGAGCAGCGAGCCACCCCCTGTGGCACCGCCCGTGGCGGAGCCCGGCGCCCCGGCCGAGCCGCCGCACGCCGGGGAGTTCGCCGCCGATCCGGAGCGCAAGGATGACGGCGACTTTGACTCGGCGGAGGGCTCCGACCTCGCAGCCGTCGTCCTCGAGGTGCCGTGCAACAACCTCAAGGAGAACCAGTACGCGGGCATGAAGAAGCGGACCACGGCGGGCGTGCTCGCCACCCTCGCCTCGTGCGGCCTGTTCCTCAGCGTCGACGAGCTCGCGGTCGCCGAGAGCCTCAAGCAGGTGCACCAGTCGGTGCACTCGCTGCTCACCACGCCCGGCGTCGTGCCGCCCAAGGTTCTCGCCTACGACGACGCGTGCCACCTCCACGGTTTTTGGCACAGGCGCAGGCCCCGCAGCCCCTGGCTGTGCTGGCTGCTGAGCACGATCAAGCTCGTGGTGGACCGCTTTCACTTCCGCAACCACGACGCGGAGTACTGCCGCAGGCACGTCGACCCCCACAAGTGCGAGGAGCTGCGCCTGGACGACAACACCGAGGTGGCCGAGCAGGGCTTCGCCTGGCTCGCGCGTAGCAAGCACGTCTTCCGCACGATGAACGAGTCGCGCTTCCTCTTCACGATCCTGCGGCTGATGCACATGCGCAACCGCTACACGGCCGGCATGCCGTTCCACCCCTAGGCTAGCGGTTCAGCGTCTATTACGTGTACGTGTACGTGTGTATTGAATATTCCAATCGTGGGCCGTGCTGTTGTGTATGCACGCTGCCCCCTATGCATTCGCATCGTGATATGCATCCTTACCGATCCAACATCCATAACCCTAGCGCCTATACATTTACGTATTTGCAAAATACGTCGCCCTCTCCCACCCTCGCGCGTCGCGGCGCGTGAATGCATAACACAGATACATAATACATAGGCGAATTTGCATTATACGCACTGGGAGTCCACATCGTGTGTTATGTCATTATGTAATATGTATTGTGTACGATGCGTCATACATTGCCGCGCACATACAACCCTAGCCAACTTATGGCAGCCCGAGCGGCAGCGCCAGTGCGCGCACATAAAGGGGGGTGGGTGGGGGGTTAGGGGGTGGCTGTCGAGGGCTATGCCCGAGTCTGTTGTTACCAGCGCACACACAACCCTAGCCAACTTATGGCAGCCCGAGCGGCAGCGCCAGTGCGCGCACATAAAGGGGGGTGGGTGGGGGGTTAGGGGGTGGCTGTCGAGGGCTATGCCCGAGTCTGTTGTTACCAGCGCACATACAACCCTAGCCAACTTATGGCAGCCCGAGCGGCAGCGCCAGTGCGCGCACATAAAGGGGGGTGGGTGGGGGGTTAGGGGGTGGCTGTCGAGGGCTATGCCCGAGTCTGTTGTTACCAGCGCACATACAACCCTAGCCAACTTATGGCAGCCCGAGCGGCAGCGCCAGTGCGCGCACATAAAGGGGGGTGGGTGGGGGGTTAGGGGGTGGCTGTCGAGGGCTATGCCCGAGTCTGTTGTTACCAGCGCACATACACCCCTAGCCAACTTATGGCAGCCCGAGCGGCAGCGCGAAGTTAGGGTCTGGGCCGAGGGGGGGGGGGGGTTGTTAGGGCTGCATGCTGCGGAGCGGACTCCCCCCCAGCTCTCACACACAACCCGGCGGAGGGTTGCGGCGCTTGAATACATAATACGGATACGTAATGCGTAGTCCATAGCCCTCTCCGGCGGGCTTTCGGCGCTTGATACATAATACGGATACGTAATGCGTAGTACATAGCCCTCTCCGGCGGGCTTTCGGCGCTTGATACATAATACGGATACGTAATGCGTAGTACATAGCCCTCTCCGGCGGGCTTTCGGCGCTTGATACATAATACGGATACGTAATGCGTAGTACATAGCCCTCTCCGGCGGGCTTTCGGCGCTTGATACATAGTACGGATACGTAATGCGTAGTACATAGCCCTCTCCGGCGGGCTTTCGGCGCTTGATACATAATACGGATACGTAATGCGTAGTACATAGCCCTCTCCGGCGGGCTTTCGGCGCTTGATGCATAGTACGGATACGTAATGCGTAGTCCATAGCCCTCTCCGGCGGGCTTTCGGCGCTTGATACATAGTACGGATACGTAATACGTAGTACATAGCCCTCTCCGGCGGGCTTTCGGCGCTTGATGCATAATACGGATACGTAATGCGTAGTCCATAAGCCCTCTCCGGCGGGCTTTCGGCGCTTGATACATAGTACGGATACGTAATACGTAGTCCATAAGCCCTCTCCGGCGGGCTTTCGGCGCTTGATACATAATACGGATACGTAATGCGTAGTCCATAGCCCTCCCACGTGCAGGCGCCGCTGAGTGATGCATAATACGGATACGTAATGCATAGTACATAGCCCTCTCCGGCGGGCTTTCGGCGCTTGATGCATAGTACGGATACGTAATGCGTAGTCCATAGCCCTCTCCGGCGGGCTTTCGGCGCTTGATACATAATACGGATACGTAATGCGTAGTCCATAGCCCTCCCACGTGCAGGCGCCGCTGAGTGATGCATAATACGGATACGTAATGCATAGCTCATAGCGCCAATGCGACATCGGCAGCGCTGCACTGTTTGCTGAGACATAAAGGCGAAAACATCGTACGTATTGCATAAGACACGCTATGGACTATGCATTCGCGCGACGTCTGACCCTGCCAATGCATAGGCAGGACACACGGGTGCATATAGGGCCGGTACGTATACATAACAGTACGGCCCACGTCTCGAAGAAATCGACTGGCATGCCCCGCTCGAGCGCGACCCGAAGGGTGGGAAGCGCCGCGGAGAGCCAAAGGCCGAGCTTCCGCTGGAGCTCGTCCTGGAGGGTGTCGGAGGAGAGGGCGGTGGCGTACGTACCGTCGACACGGACATCGAAGGCCTTGCCGGCGAAAGGCGTTGAGGCGGAGATGAAGCGCGCGGCTTCGCGGTTGTTGACGGCGCTGTCTCCGAGGGACGGGTTGTTCTTGACGTGCACATCCTGCGCCTTGACGAGCTCCTGGTGCGCGAACCAGTCCTTGTGATTCTTGACGGCAGCGAGCGCCCGCGGCCGCGGGTACGTGGATTTGCAAGTGCCATTGAGAATCGCGTCGGTAAGCTGGAAGGGACTCGGGCTCGGGGAGCGGGATGCTCTTGGGGTAAAACTCAGTCAGGTAGCCGCCGCGGACGGTGTAGTACTTGTTTTGTCGCGGGCGGCGCGCTTCTCGCACACCTCCTTCCAGCCCGAGAGGGCGGACGTTGTGTGTGTGTGTGTGTGTGTGTGTGTGTGTGTGTGTGTGTGTGTGTGTGTGTGTGTGTGTGTGTGTGTGTGTGTGTGTGTGTGTGTGTGTGTGTGTGTGTGTGTGTGTGTGTGTGTGTGTGTGTGTGTGTGTACACTCACACTCACTCACACACGAGTGTGTGTGTGTGTGTGTGTGTGTGTGTGTGTGTGTGTGTGTGTGTGTGTGTGTGTGTCACTCACTCACTCACACGCAGGAGTGTCTTTCGAATAAGGCGGACCTACCGTACCCCGCAAAAAGGTGGAACCCTGGCTCTCGAGGCGGTGGTAGCTAAAAATGAAAGGCACGTTAGCTAGCTATTAGAGTACAAAACAAACCCACGGGGCGAGTGGACTGCTTCAAGGCCGTCGGTACTTTCTTTGGCGACCCTGAGGCCCGCAAAAAGGAGCTCACCGCGCACCTCAGGAAGAAGCTCGCGCCGCTCGACGTCATCGACATGATCGTCGACACTGACTGCGTCACAAACACCAACACCTCGCAGCTCCGCCTCAACCTCGTCCAACGGATTGCCTGCGCAAAGACCAAGTACATTGCCGGCATCACGCCGCCCAATGTCGCGTGCGACGCTCTCGAGTCTGCGCACAACCGCATCCGCAAGTCCTTTGAGAGCATTGCTCGCGCCGACGCCTCGCCCCAGGCGCTCCGCGACCTCGCGTGGCTCCAGGCGCAGCTTGCACGTCAAGAACAACCCGTCCCTCGGAGACAGCGCCGTCAACAACCGCGAAGCCGCGCGCTTCATCTCCGCCTCAACGCCTTTCGCCGGCAAGGCCCTCGATGTCC